GATAGCCACATGCAGAAGAATGAAACTGGACCATTTCCTTACACCACGCACAAAAATGGACTCAAAATAGATGAAAGACCTCAATGTGAGACAGGAATCCATCAAAATCCTTGAGGAGAACACAGGCAGCAACCTCTTCGACCTCAGCCACAGCAACTTCTTCCTAGAAACATCACCAAAGGCAAGGGAAGCAAGGGCAAAAATGAACATTGGGACTTCATCAAGATCAAAAGCTTTTGCACAGCAAAGCAAACAGTCAAGAAAACCAAAAGACAACTGAGAGAATGGGAGAAGATATTTGCAAACGACATATCAGATAAAGAGCTAGTATCCAAAATCTATAAAGAACTTATCCAACTCAACACGCAAAGAACAAATAATCCAATTAAGAAATGGGCAGAGGACATGAACAGACATTTCTGCAAAGAAGACATCCAGATGGCCAACAGACACATGAAAAAGTGCTCCACAACACTCGGCATCAGGGAAATACAAATCAAAACCACAGTGAGATACCACTTCACAACTGTCAGAATGACTAAAATTAAAAGTCAGGAAATAACAGATGCTGGCGAGGATGCGGAGAAAGGAGAACCCTCCTACACTGTTGATGGGAATGCAAGCTGCTGCAGTCACTCTGGAAAACAGCATGGAAGTGCCTCAAAAAGTTGAAAATAGAGCTACCCTATGACACAGCAATCACACTACTCTCTGGGTATTTACTCTAAAGATACAAATGTAGTGATCCGAAGGGGCACGTGCACGTGAGTGTGTATAGCAGCAATGTTTCCAATAGCCAAACTATGGAAAGAATCTAGATGTCCTTCAACAGATGAATGGATAAAGAAGGTGTGGTATATTTATATATAGTGGAATACTATGCAGCCATCAAAAAAATCTTCCCATTTGCAATGATGTTGATGGAACTAGAGGGTATTATGCTATGTGAAATAACTCAATCAGAGAAAGACAATTATCATATGATCTCTCTGATATGAGGAATTTGAGAGGCAGGGTAGGGTTGCGGGGGGTGGGGTAGGGAGAGAAAAAATGAAACATGATGGGATCAGGAGGGAGACAAACCATAAGAGACTCTTAATCTCATGAAACAGTGTTGCTGAGGAATGGGGGGATAGGGAGAGGGTGGTGGGGTTATGGACATTGGGAAGGGTTGTGCTATGGTGAGTGCTGTGAAAAGTGTAAGCCTGATGATGACCTGTACTCTTGGGGCAAATAATACATTATATGTTAATAAAGAATAAAAATTTAAAAAAAATTTTTAAAAAGAATGTGTTCTTCTAAGACTTCTTTATTTTGTCTTTATTAAAAGGGCTTTGCCCATGACTAAAAACAACCAATCAACCAACTACCCAACACATTGCCAAGATTTTCTCCTAGTGATGTTAGTGATGATCATAGCAGTGGCGGTGGTGATAATGATGATGACATTAAGCCCTGACATCAAGAATTTATTTTATTCAAACAAATGAGATAAAATCCAAGATTTATTTCTTTATTTGTTAGCTTATTTCATTCATTCATTTTCCAACTGCCTACTTTGTGGACTGAAAAACAATCTTAACACATTGTAAATGCCTTAACTGAGTGTTTCCTGGTCCCTTTTTAAATCCATTAATCTGTATGTCTTATTCTCTGCTCAGATAAAACTCTTCGCTTATTTCGTTTTGCAATATATTTGCAAGGAGCTGAGGCTCCCTCATTATACTATTATGTCAGAATTCTTCCAGCTGTTTTCACAAATTTCTTTTCATACAATGCTGGTGGAATTTTTAATTCATTTATAAACAGTAAACACCTAAAATATATTATATTCCTACATTTTAAGGTTTTCATATTGTACAAAGACTGCAATTCTGAAATCATCCAGAAGAGACTTTTTTTTTAAGTTGCCAGAATTGTATAAAAAATATATATATAGGGGCACGTGCACCCGAATGTTTATAGCAGCAATGTCTACAATAGCCAAACTATGGAAAGAACCTAGATGTCCATCAACAGACGAATGGATAAAGAAGATGTGGTATATATATACAATGGAATACTATGCAGCCATCAAAAGAAATGAAATCTTGCCATTTGCAACAACATGGATGGAACTAGAGGGTATCATGCTTAGCGAAATAAGTCAATCGGAGAAAGACAACTATCATATGATCTCCCTGATATGAGGGAGAGGAGATGCAACATGGGGGGTTAATGTGGTAGGAGAAGAGTAAATGAAACAAGTTGGGATTGGGAGGGAGACAAACCATAAGTGACTCTTAATCTCACAAAACAAACTGAGGGTTGCTGGGCAGAGGGGGGTTGGGGGGGGGGTTATGGACATTGGGTAGGGTATGTGCTATGGTGAGTGCTGTGAAGTTTGTAAACGTGGAGATTCACAGACCTGTACCCCTGGGGGGAAAAATATATATATATATATGTTTATAAAAAAATAAAATTATAAAAAAAAAAATATATATATATATATATTGTTTTTCTATCCAAGAATACGGTAAGTTTTTCCATTTGTTTAAATCACATTTTTCATAATCTGAGTAGCATTTAAAGTTTTTCTTTCTAAAATTCTGCAATTTTTTGTTAACTTTATACATACATATTTTCTCGTACATAGTTATTGCAAGTGATATCTTTTATTCCATTACAGTTTGAACAGCCATCTATAAAAGAAAAGTTGATGGGTTATATGAGTCTTTTTTTTTTCAGCCACTCTTCTGTATTCTCTTGACGTTTTTCAGTTTTTTATTTAAAAATGCTTTTTCCAGATATATAAAATCAAACTATTTGTCAAAAATGATCAGTTTTTCCACTTTTTAAAACAATTTTTATATTTTTCAGTTATTTGTCTTGCCTAATTGCACAGGCTAGTACGTTAAGAACATACCAGATAGTACTGATATCTGAGGGCATCTTTGTTTTTTTCTAACTTGAAAGGTTAATACATTTGTCTGGATGTTGGCTTTCTTGTAAACTTTTAGATGAAGTGAAAAGCAGCCCAAAGGTAGACTGCTCTCCACTCCATCCGTGAACCTGAGGAGCACTGGGCAGGCATTGGCGGCTGCCAATTCTTCCTTAATTCTCATCTGTCCCATCCTGAAGTTGAGGAGAAACATGCCACATAGTTCCATTTATAACTGCTTTATGAGGTATTTTTAATAATTAATATATGCAATATTAATTGATTTTATGTGGAAATAATAAAAAAGAGTGTTTTAAGAAGGGAAATGTCTTACTGACCTACCTATGTTCACACACGTGTACGTATGTATATATTACCAACATGGCATGAAGCTGGCAGAGGAACTCAGTATCAGAGTAGTTTTGGTTTTATTCCTAATCTTGCTGTATAGACATTTTCATTAATTCAGTAAAGAGAAGCCTAAATATGTTTGTGACTTTCATCTTAGCTTTTGTGATGTCTTTCTTTTGCCTCTTACCATTAAAACTTGTGTGTCTGAAATCTTTACAAGTAAATGAGCTGAAACAAATAAAAGTAATTCACTTGGGATTTTGTAGACATCTGGTGGAGTTATTTTCTGAGTAATTAGAACGAGAGGTGGGACGATTCCCTGAAGTAAAGCTACCGTACAGTTGGATACCCGTTCATTTCCACAGCCATCAGATTGCAGGCAGTGAGCATATTGATTCACAAATTGACAAATAATTATGTAGAGCTGCCACCTGATTTTCTAAGACCATTTGTGTTTTATCAGTATATGCTTCACGCACTTTTCTAAAAGATGCCTTTTCTCTGTCCTCTCACAGTCTGTTCCATTTCATTATGTCCCATCACCTCAATGTACCCTTCGCATGGTTAGAGGCAGTGAACATAGATCTCCCGCAAGAGCTGCTCTCTGTTCAACCCTGGTTAATCCAACATTTGGATACAAATATGAATGAATTACAATCTGGCTTTTGACAACATATACCTATTTTGGTAGGTAAAGATAAAGAAAATAAAGCTATTGAAATGCTTCCTATTTAGCTTGGAAATGTTCAGGGAAATCTTACTATTTAAGATATGTCTTAATATTATAAATCATAGATCTGGAGTGGATTTGAAAATTTCATCGTTATTTGTTCCAATTGTTAGTCTCACCGTTAGAGAGCAAAAGCACTTAAACCACTGTAGAAAGATACACATCTTTTCAGTTTATAATAACTGTAAGAGATTATACAACTATCTTCAGTCACCCATCATAGAATAAAAAGATGCTATCAAGAAAGTTTCCTTTTTCGCCAATCTAAATCCCACAGGTTATTAAAATGTACTTTATTCTCTCTCTGCCTTTAGTATTTTACTCTCAGGGATAATATTTGCAGAGCAGTAAAGTCAGGCATTTTCACCATGCCAGGAACAGAGATAATCTGATCAAGGCCCACCCAGATGGTGGCTACACTCACCCCTTTGCCTCTTCCTGGATCCCACACTATCACTGTTCTCAGTCACTCTCAATTTAACTTTACATAAGAGATAGATAATTAGGATTTATTTTCAGATGTAAGCCACGGACACAGGATACTTTTAATCTGCAATGTTTACAAATTGTTTAAAAATACAAGGGGAAATTATGCATATGAATTGACATTTGATAGTTGTAAATAAAAATGACAAACTTATCCTCAATTGAATATGTTCCCCAATCTCAGGATTTTAGACCTGACAACAGAACTGACACATGAGTGAAATTCATCTTTGGCTAGGGCACTTGCCAATCATCCCATCTATTCATTTTTCTCATTTATCTTTTTCAGGATGAACTACGTCCATCAGGAATCAAGTCAAGATTTATTGATCACATTTTACTTTGCAATGCATGGAATGAGACCACCAGATTCTACCCAAACTGAACCAAAACTTTTGCCAAAGGATAACCGCTCTGTTTTTATTCTCACAATTGAAAGAACAGTATGACATCATGCCAAAGTGGTGAGTTAGTGAATACTCAACAGTAGTCCAAATGCAGCAGAAAACTCACCAGAGGTTTCGTCTACTCTCTCATCTACTATGTGGTCCTTCTGATGAACCCATTCACTATTGCACTTGAAGTAGATCTGGGTGGCGGGACTGGCTTTACAATAGAGGTTCACAGGCTTATTCTTCACAATATAAGCTTCTTCAGGCTCAATAAGAAAATGTGGTAGAGGTTCAGGTGGATCGGATGGAAAGGTTTCTGGGAGTTCATGAAAAAAGTCGTCGTCTGGTGAAACAAGAAGAAAGTGGAAAACAGTCAAATCATAGTAGCCACTTGCCATTTATTTGATATTCACTTAAAAATAATGATTCATAAATGATCTAATTAAGGATGTGTGTGCCTGCTATGCACCTGCTGTGCATTAGGTCCCTTACTGGTTGTACAAGTAATTTTTTGGTTATTATTCTCATTTTTATGCACGGTGAAACTCAACATCAGGGAAGGTAAATATCTTCCCCAAGCATGCATGTAGTAAATAGCACAACTGGAACCAGAACCCAGGTTTGTCTCACTCAAAAACTGTGATCTTCCCCATATAGTACCACACCTCCCACTACACAGTGTTCCCGTTGAGAGCTGACAAAAGCAAAAATGGTTTCATTAGAAAAATTTGTTTGAAAAATACAAGGCTCATAGGTAAACCATCAGTCCTTTGCATGAAGCTGAGAAGGAATACTGGGAACATGAATTAATGATCTTTAAGTTCAGATTCAAACCTATCTTTATTTTCAAAAGATACCACTGCATGACATTGTCATTCACTTATTCATTCATTCAGCCAAAGGTATTTATTGAGCTCAGGATTATTCTCAGCACTAGAAAGAGAGATAATAATATTGAGCCAGTCAACAGTAGATTGACAGTAGAGCCTCGAGCCTAGCAATGCTGTTTGGTCTTATTTAGAAACCATACCTCAAATATCAGATATATGATATGACTAGTCAAATCTATCCTCATTAGAATATTAGCAAGGACAATAATAGTCAATAATTTCATTTTCTATAGTACTGAAAATTATCAAATATGTTGCTCCCACTTTGCTGCTTCAACATCACTTAATAAACAAAACTCCAAAACCACTTGAGGTACTTATACACTTGGAGGTATGGTTTTCATAACTTGAGTTCTATATGATTCCAAATAAAAACAGAAAATTTAAAAATGCCCTAAAAAACCCTATTATCATATTTCACAAAAGTCAAGGTAAAAAGTCTCTCCAATACACTGAAACTAAGTTAGACCTGATAATTTTCTTCCTGTGACAGATTGCGGGGAGCAAAACTATTGTTCGTTCTCTTAGTTGATAAAGCACCCCAGGCTAATATGTAAGGTTAAAGGTGTGAGGCTCAAATTAAAAGTTTTAAAAATTCTTTGAAAGTATACACGTTTGGCAGTAAATACATGACGTAGTATAGGTAAAGTCTGGTTGCTCATACCTTACCTTAAAACTCATTTTATTACTCATTCAGTTGTTGCTCTGTTTGGGGAGATGGCCATTTGTCAAATGGCCATTTGTCTGCTAAGAAACCTGGTCTGGCACTTTTTCCATCTAGCTCATGGGACAGCTGTCAAACAGCAACCGTGTTTGATCTCTGCCAATATGTTCTGCAGTAAAAATTGGCTTCACTTGCATCACAGACACAACTAGCTTTCAAAGCTCCTCCCAAATGATAAATTTCTGACACTGGGATGTAAATGATGCTTCCTGGAGCTAGCTTTCTTTCTCACTTTACTTCCTTAATTTGCTTTCTTCTGGCAGGGCATCATCTCTAGTTTTTCCATTGCAGAACATCAAGGATCCAAACTGTCAGCTAACTAAAGAATAACCTTGTTTCCATCAATTTTGGCTTCTTTACTCAATGTGCAAGAACATTCAAAACTGCTTGAATAAACATAGTTCAGAAAGGCAAAGGAATAGGGGACTGGGGTACTGACAGATCCATCAACATAAAGCTGAGATCTTGAAGGTCTTATTCATAATCCCTCCTTACGTGCTTATTGTTGTATGTGATGATAAACAGTTCTGATAATCAATAGAGTGCCACAAAATATCAAACTGAAATTTTGTAAAATGTTTGCTGTTGTTTTTAATTTTTATTACTCAGGAAGGCAGAGTGTTGATTCTTTTTTTTTTTTTTTTTTTTTACTATTGGTGTATATTTAAACATACCAAAATGTGTATGTATTTTAATATATTTATTCAGGTTTCCAAAATATAAAAAGTTTTCCTTTCAGTCATTGTTTTAGAAAGTGAGATTTGTTCCTTTAGAAGGTTGCAAAATATCAGATGACTGTTTACTACCTTACATTATTCAATCATGTAGCAAAGTACTTATGTATTCACATCCTACAGAAAGATAGGCACTAAAAATTGATTACCCTTTCTTGCCCAAAGCATGTATTTCTTCCTTCTGATTATTTTATTGTAATCTACTGGGAAGACTAATGGAAGCCGGGAAAGTCACACATATGTTTTCAACTCAAAAGGGGCTCTGTTAAGTGCTGGAAAAGATAGTAATGATTTAATGACATATTTTAAAAAATGTATGGACAAACTAATTTTGTATTCCTTAATTTTGAGTTTTAAGACAAGAGGGTCACCACCAGTAAAGAGAAATAATTCTACATTTTGGTTCGAAGCTTCGTCAAGTGTTGATTTTTCAAGGTGTTCGTTAAATAACACTTAGTATGCAACTTATTAAGGAATGATTCCATCATTTGAAATATTTTCATTTTGTGGTAAATACAGTTTTTTTTTACATATCATTCTAATTTCTGCATAAACCCCATCTCTTAAGTAGCAGCTAGGGAGAAGCCTTAACCAATGACATGATATTAATTTGTTACAATTTCTTATAACACACATACACTGTTTAAGTCTATAGCTAGATAAATTCATGTCAGGCAATACGGCACATTACTTCTAGTGCTCAATTCAGGGGATGGGAATGGTACTTCTAAAGATAATTTTCAAGACCTTGAGTCAGTAAGATATAAAGAAGTGGGAAGATTTGACAAAATGGGAATGGACTGATTATCAGTGGGCTCATGTGCTGCTGGGAAATTCTTTCCTTCTTCATTTGCAAGAAGGTGGCCTGGACACCATCCACAACCACGTCAGCTGGCCTAGACAACTCCCCTACCATCGGATCACGTATGTTAAGACAATACTTTCTTTGCTCTAGAGAGAAACGATAAGTATCAGCATTAATTTCAGAAATTGTCTTTTAATGAAATGTCATCTTAAATTTTTTTTCTAGAGTATGTTTTGAAAATCAAACAAGCAAGCCAATTCTCTTCAGCCAAAATTATTAAGGAAAACTTCTGAGTATTTAAACATCTAGCATGGTTACATCTATATGTATTTAACAATAAAAAGATGACCATCTCCAAATACCATGTGCATTTAACAAGGAAAAAGGATCATCTCCAAATACCATGTGTATTTAATAAGGAAACAAGGACCATCTCCAAATACCATGTGCATTTAACAAGGAAAAAGTGATCATCTCCAGATACCATGTATTTAACAAGGAAAAAATTGATTGTCTGCAAATGAGCATCTATAAATACCTCTTCACGAACACTTAGCTCCTCTGCACTTGTGTGTGTACTTGCCTTGCACACATATGGAGGAATCTACTTTTCAGTTTTGGCAACCAGTTTTATGCAACTATTACCAATTTTCAAAATCCAGAACTATATAACAAATGCCTAATGCTAGAATGAAAGCTCTTTTGGAGGCAGAAATTATTGTCATATTCATTTTTATTTTCCATTAAGTCTAGCATTCTGCCAGGCACATTATAGGCAGTCAGTAAGAATCTTCTAAAAGCATGGGTATTCTACAAATGGCAATTGTGATCATCCGGAAAGGGTTCATGAGGTATTTTAGAGTTCATAGCGCCTCAAATGAATTTACATACCAAAGGTTGTAACAATAGTTAAGATCTCCAAACTGGACTGGTTACAGACTTTGTGTGACCTAGTGCAGAGTGAAGATTTGGGGATCCTCGTTGTATTAGGAATTCTGAAACAGTGACAGATGAGCATTAAACCAAGAGTCCTGTGTGACAGCACAGGTCACATACCCATGAAGTCATTCCTGTCTACCTACAAGTGTCAGTTAACTGAGCATTCTACTTCAAGGAAAAAATCTGAGAATTAAAATTATATCTTTATTAGCAGATTTTTGTTTTGGAACTTATTTGCTATTTCCCAGCTTCTTATGGTGATCAGATGTTTTCTAGAAGAATCATGGCTTTCCAGAGAGAGAAAATCAGCCTCCATAAGTCTCTAAGTAAGTGTGTTTACAATGGTGTGCAAGGGAAAGTGTGCGATTTTGTTTGTTCATGGCTTTCCCTTTGGATGTACTCCAGTGCTCATCCATGTCTCTGACCGAAAACAAGTAAACTCCCTGCAATACGAAAGCTAAATCTTTTGGGGGCACTAGCAGACTCCTTAATACATGGATATAATACAGTCTGAGATTTTAAAGTTCAATACATTGAGATAACAAGGTTTGAGATTCTACCTTGAGTTGGTAGACTATTTACTGAGATCAGTTGTTAGTGTGAAATTCATTTTACTATCCAAATAAACCATCTTTCTGATACTATTAAGGTCATGCTACGAAACTTGAAGCTATAAAAGAAAAATTTGTTTTTTTTTTCAGCAGAGAGATCAGTGAATGCATCCTATTAATACTTTATTTCTTAATATAAATATCTAAAGAGCCCTGAAGTGTTCAGGGAGATAATGGCAACTTAATTTGTGAACAGCAACTTCAGACAATGAACTTATTTCTGGCAAAGTGCCACAGTTATCCCAAATTATTATATATTATATAAAGGCACACCCCAGATGCTCATACGGATGGCATTATGCTAATCGGGCCATACGACTTGATTAATAAAATTGCTAAACAAGTTTTCTGCATGTAGTTCATTCAAATTAACAAAGTAAAATTCCCAAAGTTGGCTTTATTCTGTACATTGAAATCATGATTAGCTTAAAACTATTATTGCCTTTTCAATTTTGTTGTAATATTATTATTCATCTTATTCTCCTGTAACATTTGACTTAATTTTCCACTTTCTACCATTAGTCAATATTGATATCACCATTTTCATCCTGATATCAGGTAAATCTCAATATTTCCTTTTCTGTTGTCTCATATAGACTTTGTTTTTTCATTTATATACAAGAAGGGAAAGCTTTGCACC